GCTCTTCATTTGTTCAGTGATCAGTTTAATTTTGGGATTATTATTGGTGTGTTATTACTCTCTCCCCCTCTCCCCCTCTCTTCCCCTCTCCCTCTCCCTCTCCCTCTCCCTCTCCCCCTCCCCCTCCCTCCCTTCCTCCCTCCCTTCCTCCCTCCTTCCCTCCCTTCCCCCCCTCCCTTCCCCCCTCCTCCCTCCCCCTTATCCCCCCCCCTTATCACCGTCTCCCTCCCCCCAGCCCCAGAACCTGCTGCTGACGGGCCAGCACCCGGACAGCGACGTCAAGCTGTGTGACTTCGGGATCTCGCGCATCCTGCTGTCGGACATCGAGGTGCGGGAGGTGCTCGGGACGCCGGACTACGTCGGTGGGTCGCTTGTGGAGTTTTCTGTTTAGTTTTTGGTTATTTTTTTATGTTTTCGTATGTTGTTGCTGCCGGTTATGATGGTGGCGCTTGGCTTATTTATTTATTTGGTTTATATGTTGTTTTTTCGTATTGTTTATGATATTGGCGATGCCATTGCTTGTTTGTTTATGATGCTTTTGTTCGTGATAGATAACAAATACATGCTTATATAATGAATAAATATGCAAATGACAGACTGCCGTCGCTGTCACTGACAACATTTCTCCTTCCTACTTTTATGACTGTTCATGCCCATTTAAGAACGATAAAGTAATGAACCTGACTTCCTTCCAGCGCCGGAGATCCTGCAGTACGAGCCCATTAGCCTCGCCACGGACATGTGGTGAGTGACGCCCGAACGAGAGAGGCGGAGGAGGGAATGAGAGAATGGATGATAGGGAATGAGAGAGTGAATAAGTGAAAATAATGAATGAGGGAGTAAGTGAAAATAAAGAATGAGTGAGTAATGGTAGATAAGGTAAAGATGAGTATAATATAGGTAATGAGTGAATGAATAAATGGTAGGGGGTGAATAGGTCAGTAAATGGAATATAATGAATGAATGAAATCGATAAAATTGATAAAAAGAGTAAATAGATAATAGATGGTAAATGAACAAATGTATAAATTAATGATATTAAATGTGTAAGTAAGGGTCAGATAACGTATGGATAATGAATAATGTAATCAGTTATAGTTAGTGAAAAGATCAAGAAATGAAATATGACGAATGAATAAATAGATAATAGATAATGAAGAGATGAATAGCTCTCTCTCACTTCTTTCCTTCTAAGAAATAATCTTATTCTTTCTCTTCCAAAAGTCAGTATCTTCTCTCCTCTTTTTCTTCTTTTTCTTCTCTCTGCTCTTTTTGCTTTCCTTCCCTCCCTCTACACCTCCGTATTCTCCTCCTCCAAAGTTTATCTCCCTCCTTCCCTATTCCTTCCTTTTTCTCTTCCCCACGCCGTCTCTTGCCTTTCCTCTCCCTCTCCTTTTCCTTCTCTCTCCCACTATCAACACCTTTTCTTCCCCTTTTTCTTTATTCTCCCTCCTCGCTTTCTGTCTCCTTCTGCCACTCCTCCTCCCTCCCTCCCTCCCTCCCTCCCTCCCTCCCTCCCTCCCTCCCTCCCTCCCTCCCTCCCTCCCTCCCTCCCTTCCTCCCTCCCTCCCCCCCTCCCTCCCTCCCTCCCTCCCTCCCCATTCACTTCCCTCTCAATTAAACCTCCTCCTTCGTCAGGTCGGTCGGCGTGCTGACCTACGTCCTCCTGACGGGCCACTCGCCCTTCGGAGGAGACACGAAGCAGGAGACGTTCCTCAACATCTCGCAGGGCCACGTCGACTTCCCGGAGGACCTGTTCGAGGGCGTGTCCCAGCAGGGCAAGGACTTCATCTCGCACCTCCTCGTGGTCGACCCCAGGTACGTCAGCGTTATTATCTACATTATCATCATTATCTTCGTCACCATCATCATGGTGTTGGTGTTGATGGGCGAGCTGAGACTTTTTAGAGTTTTTACTATGAATAGTAGTGTTAGAAGTAATAAGCCTAAATAATAGTTATTTTTAAGGATTGTGCGTGTGTGTTGTTGTTTAGAGATTATAGATCCGCCAGAGTGACTCACTCATACTCCAACAGTCACCCCTTGTGTGTGGCTGTGCGTGCATGCCTGTGTGCGTTTGGCTGCGAGGGAAGAGAACAGATCAAGGCCTCCACTCACCCCCCCCCCTCTCTCTCTCTTTCCGCAGCGGCCGCCTCACGGTGGACGAGGCCCTCGAACACCAGTGGCTCCGTACGGCGCCCACGCCCGCGCAGCCGCCCCCGCTCGTGCCCGCGGCCAGCGCCCCCGCCCGCCCCGAAGGACACGCCACCCGAGAGCAGGCGGCGCCCCGCCCCAGAACCCCGCCCACCGACGCCCGTTGCGCGAGCCCCAGGGCCAGCGCCTCCCCCCGCGCCCGCAGACACGGCGAGGCAGCGGCCGTGGGCGCTACCGGGCTCTCCCTCGGCGTCCGCAGGGACTCGTCGCCGCGCCCGTCCTCGCCGGCGCGGTCCTCCGACCACAGGGTCAAGCTGCACGTGTCCAACTTCAACCTGAAGGCGGCGTCGACGGCGGACCTCTCGACGAAGGCCAAGAGCTTTCCCGCCCCGTCGCGCCTGTGCAGGGAGCGGGCGGAGGGCCCCGCCGCCGCCGCGACGCCCTCGCCGCGGCTCACCAAAGAGCCCGAGACCAGCGGCCCCTTCGGCTCGAGCAGGGAGGCCGTCGCGCCGCCCGCGAGCCTCGGCAGAGAGCCCGCGTCCGTGGGTCTGAGCCGCGAACCCGCCCCCTCGTCCCTGGCCCTGAGCCGCGACCCCGCCCCCGCGTCCCTGGCCCCGAACCGCGAGGCCGTGACGACGTCCCTGAGCCTGAACCGTGAGGCCGACGGCACGTGGCGCACGGCGGACTCCGTCAACAAGGAGAACAACCAGAACAGCATCAACAAGGAGGAGGCGCCGCACATCTCAAGCCCCTGCAGGGACGCCCTCGACTCCCCGAGCCGCTCCAGGGGCCGCTTCGTCCACGCCGAGATCGCGAAGGCGGGGAGGGAGGCGGAGGCCAGGAGGCTGGCGGGCGGCGGCAAGGAGGGCAAGGAGAACAAGGAGAACGGGCGCGAGGGCAAGGACGGCCACAGAGAGAGGCTGCGGCCGTCGCCGCTGTGCCTGCGGCGCCAGGGCTCCAAGGGCGACCTGCACTCGCCGACGGAGCAGCAGAAGTTCGGGCCCATGCAGGGCTGCGTCACCAAGAGGATCGAGAAGGGCATGATCTACTGACTCGGCTCCTGAAGGAACCGACAATAAAGGAGGGAAAAGGATGCGTATGCTGACCATGTCACAAAATATCACAAAGAGACGGAAACGGCAACGTGATTCCTCGTACAGACTGTGACGCTGAAAGCTGTCATGGTTTTATGTAAGTATCGGATACCTCATACACAAGGTGCCTTGTATATAATGTATGTAAAAGTATAGTATGAATATTTACAATGCACACTTCAGGTGGTTGATACCGTAAAGCAATGCAAAAGTAATAATAAAAAGAAAACAAATGAAAAATAGGCGGAAGTGCACGGAAGGTACTGAAGAAAGACTTAAAAGAAGAAAAAATGACTTTAGATACCCTGAAAGTGCACGGAGCCAAAAGAGGAGACAGAGAATGAAGAGACGCTGATAAAGAGTGAAACTTACGTGACAAAAACACGTCAGAAGATGGTGCTCGATTTATGAAAATAAAAAAGTGATGCTTTGAAGTGACTTCATTCCTTATATTTTTACTTTTGGAAATACTATGCCCAGCCTTTTACAGTTTACATTGGTGGATAACAATGAATATGTTCTCATGTTGAGATAATGATTTAAGAAATATTGTCTCAAAGCCAAGTTACATTGTGTTCGTAATATGTATTGCATATTATCTCTGCGCTGCACGGTTGTCCTTACTTCGCTGAAATATCACAGAAACGCTGAACTAAGCCAGCTGAAATTATCCATGGAATCAGGAACCATTCCATAGAATAATACTAAAGCACTGGATTGAAATAATTCTAAAGCAATTATCAGTATTTACTAATCATAATTCAGGAGACTTTAACGGCATGTGCTTGGCCCAGAAGCTTTACCACTCTGTTTAGGGTTTTGTTTTTGTTTTTTTTATTTTGCCTCCCTCTGGCGTGTGTCAGGAAACTCAGCTCTATGGTAATGATAGGAATAAAATCCAAGTTTGATGATTATAAAATTATTATTATTATTATTATTATTATTATTATTATTATTATTATTATTATTATTATTATTATTATTATTATTATTATTATCATCATCATCATTATTATTATTATTTTCACGTTCACTATCGCAGAGGACAACAAATGAAAGTACACAATATAGTTTTGTTTTTCTTAATTATTTTTCCTGAGCGTGTTGTGGGAGTAAAGTTATATATATATTCGTATTTTCGAATTACTTTTGTGGTTTTTGCATTATCATTATTAGGTAATGGATTCTGATGATTGTATAGTGTTTATTTCATGAAAATTGGGCTTCGATTGTGTGTGTGAGGGAGAGGGAGTGAGAGTGAGAGTGAGAGTGAATGAGAGAGAGTGATAGAGAATGAGTGAGTGAGTGTGAGAGTTTAACGAAATCCTAAAACAGAGAAATGAGGAAAGGTTTACAAAATCACCTCTAAGGAAACAGTATTTCATCTTGCAACTTCATATTCTTTAGTTATCCCTGTGCAATATCTTATAGAAAATGCTATTGCGACTTAAAGCAAATGATAATGATAAGAAAGGTAGCAAATTTGTATTTATGCATTGTTATTATTATTATCATCATAATTCTCTTGGTCATTTTGTTATTATTATTATTATTATTATTATTATTATTATTATTATTATTATCATCATTGTTATCATTATCATTACAGAAGAAAACATTCTACTTATGGGCATAAATTTCCTTTGTGTTTCTGGTTTAGGTGTAACCACTCTCTTACATGTTTTATGAGTCTATTTCTGTATATTTTGTACATATATTTGTGTACCTATTATATAAACACATATGACTATATTTCTTAGTTTATTTATCCTTTGATAGCTACTTGAAAGTATTAACAATCTACGAATTAACTGTCAACAATACGTAGCAAGACCTCCGTCCAAGCAGCTGCCTTTCTCCTTAGGCAGGACGCAGGTGCTGCCTTCCTTTCTCTTTTCACACAGGAATAACAAGGAAACCGCCGCATAAAAGGGCACGTGCCTAAGACGAAGAGAGAGAGACACGGCAGACAGGCCAAGCCACACAGGGTCCAGCTCCACCAGCTCGTCCTCCACCCGGGGACACGGGGGTCTCTTGGGGGGTCTCATATCTACCTTCAGAAATAAACCAGCAAGCTAAGACCCCTTTCATTTGACCGCCCCATGACTATCTCTCTTACGCTTACATCTAGTGGCTTGCGGTGGTCTCTTACGCTTACATTAATAATATTTTTTTAACGGAATTGATATCTTTTCATTATCTTTTAAGGATATGTATTAGTAATCGATCGATAATGAGTCGAATTATTCATTAATTTCATTTGTTTTAATTACTATTTGTCTAAGTTGCCTTCGTTTATTGATTTCAAGTTGGCTTAGTTATGATTAGTCTAAGTTGTTTTGATTATCATTACCTGGAGTTGGTTTAGTTACTGTTTATTAGCACATTCTTAACTGATCTAGTTACTGAAGTCTGTGTCAGGATGGTGCGGCAGCCAGGGGAAGTTCCGGCAGAAACTGCTGCTGAAGGAGGGGCAGCAGGCCCAGTGCTTTTCGGTTTAAGCAGGGCGAAGCAGCAGGAGCGGACACACACAAAGAGGGAGAAAGAGATAGATATATAAATAGATAAATCGGTATATATATATATATATATATATATATATATATATATATATATATATATATATATATATATATATATAGAGAGAGAGAGAGAGAGAGAGAGAGAGAGAGAGAGAGCGAGAGAGAGAGAGAGAGAGAGAGAGAGAGAGAGAGAGAGGCAGAGAGAGAGAGAGAGAGAGAGAGAGAGAGAGAGAGAGAGAGAGAAGAGGCAGAGAGAGAGAGAGAGAGTGAGAGAGAGAGAGAGAGAGAGAGAGAGAGAGAGAGAGAGAGAGAGAGAGAGAGAGAGAGAGAGAGAGAGATCACAGCAACGAAAGGTTTCATGAAGCAGATATTTAGGAACACTTAGCAGGAGAAAGTTCACGATGAACTGTTAGACAGAGGAAGCTAAACAGAAGATATAGGCGCATGAAGAGCACTGGCATCAAAAGTGCTGCCTATAACTGGGAAATTGGCGATAAAGATCTATGATCATGAAGCGAGGGCATTATGCTCATGGCGAGAGAAGGCTGAAGAAGGTTAGAGCTCTAGACTTTTAAACCAAGAATAACTTGTCAAAGAGAGGCTGCAGTCAATACAATACAACGGTTACACTAAACTTAAATGCGAACCAATTGTCCTCCAGTGGCTTTTCGTGTTGATGATTTAAAGAAATAAAGAATAATAGGTTAGGTTAGGTTAGATTGAATCAATTTGGGTGGGTTGGTTAGGTTAAGTTAAGTTAGGTAGAAATTGGGTTGGGTTGGGTTGGTTAGGTTAGGTTAGGTTAATTGTGTTTGGGTTGGTTAGGTTAGGTTAGATTAAGTTAATTTGGGTTGGTTAGGTTAGGTTAGGTTAGATTAAGTTAATTTGGGTTGGGTTGATTAGGTTATGTTAGGTTTTGTTATGTGGGTTAAGTTAGCTTAGCTTAGGTTAGTTTAGGTTAGCTTAGGTTAGTTTAGGTTAGGCTAGGTTAGGTTGTTAAAATTGGAGTTGGGCTGGTTAGGTTAAGTAAATTTAGATTGGGTTGATTAGGTTAGATTAGGTTAGGTTAGCTTAGGTTAGGTTAGATTAATTTGAGTGGGTTGGTTAAGTTTGGTAGAAATTGGGTTGGGTTGGTTAGGTTAGGTTAGCTAAGGTTAGGTTAGGTTAATTGGAGTTGGGCTGGTTAGGTTAGGTTAGATAGAATTAATTTGGGTGGGTTGGTTAGGTTAGGTTAGGTTAGGGTTAGGTTGGTTAGATTAGGTTAGGTAAGGTTAGGTTAGGTTGGTTATGTAGGTTATGTTGAGGTAAGTTAATTTCTGTTAGGTTAGGTTGGGTAAATTAGGTTATGTTAAGTGAGGTTAGGTTAGGTAGAATTAATTTGGGTTGGGTTGGTTAGGTTAGGTTTAGTTTAGTTAATTTAGGTTAGGTTGGTTAGCTTAGGTTGATTTAACTGGGGTTAGATTAGTCAGGTTAGGTTAGATTAATTTGGGTTGGGTTAGGTTAGGTTATTTTGAGTTAGGTTTGGTTACATATAGTTATGCTGGATTATGCTATGATGGATTAAGTTAGGTCTGGTACTAGAGGATTAATTCACTGTTATCATTATTGACAGGTACTACCATGGGAGGTACTAACAAGGTTTATAGAAGTAAAGTCGCGTCATCTTGCCATTTAATGCAGTTTTGGGCAAAAGGTATGATGCCATTAGGGCCAGAGAGAATGGGCTTTCG